AAAAGAAACAAGTCGAGAGCGTAAAGGTGTTAATGAAGTTTTTATTTGACTAGGTGAAATTATCAGCTTAGAGTATTTCCTGCCATTTTATAGCAGCTGCTGTCGCTTTCGTAACAACAGATCTACATTTTACAGTGCATTTTATATTCGTATATTGTTTCTTTTTAGTGATATGTTCAACGTTGCCCTTAAAAAATTTTGTAATATTTTTTCTTACGATTATTCCTCAACCTTCAACACCCAGAAGAGACCCACGTGCAACGTCTCTCTTTAATATCCATGCATTACCCAGCATATAGGTGATGAGAATACTCAAACATATCAGGTAAAAGTTGTTATCTTGATCTAACAGCAAATTCTCATAACTGATTTACAGGGAAATGTGTTTGCAGCGAGAGGGGAGAATTAACAATTAGATCTTAGGAGTTAAAGGTGAAAAGATACGCGTTACACCCGTGAGTCTGTTAAATTTTGTAGAGCAACATAATAGCCGATGAGCCAACGATCGACGCATAAGTATTGATATTCTGATGAACACCGCAAAAGCTGGGACACATTAAGTTGGGAATTATGAAGTAGTAAATATCTCGCATGTTACAGCTTGCACGTGCATTCGACCAGTCTTATCGGATCATACTTGAAAAATTTCGAATCTAATTTATCAGTGCAAGCAGGGGATTGCACTCCTTTGAAGAAGTATTGAGATCAAAAGTAGCATTGAATTCATTCTTCAGAGACGGATGGGCACATTTGAAGGGGAAGCACAAGGCAACTCAAGGGAAAAATAGTTGCTAACGTAAATTGATGTTAATGTCAGTTTGTTTACCTCCTGCTAAACACCGGTGATGTTGCGTTTGTTTTACGCCATCAGTGACCTTAAGTCAGCATGGGTATCGTCAAAAATATCACATGAAAAGCAGGATCAGTGACAGGAATAAAAACTGTAAGCGTGCTTCATAATTTGAATTTCATTTTTCCTGTTTATATCTTACTCTGTTTTGCATTTCACGATGAGAGACTCAATTTTTATGGGACTTTTCCAATGAGTCAGGGTATGCTTTATTTTATAAAATATGCCGAGGAGTAACTGATTATTAAAGTTTGTTCTCCAGCAACTATTCGAGAAAAATAGAGCCGCAGAGAATCCACAATTCTATTCATAAGAGAATGAATATGCTAAGAATGGCTTGCCATTTTTAATTGAGCTTCATTTATGTCCGAAAGTTCAAATACATCGTAATTTCAAGCAAAATCACTAAATTATCATGAATATGAAGAAGAATCATAGAGGTTACTCTTGCTTTAAATCTGAAGGAATCTTTCTGTCTTTATGGATCTAAGATACGGAACTTAACATATTGCACTTTTAGAAACACCTTTTAGGTAAAAATTGAGGAATCATCGCTTAAAAAAAAATTTCGTTTCATTTTGATAACCAAAAGTTAGAGGTTAATTCCATACTTTTTAACTTACCCTGAACATCTAACAGTGAGTAATCATCTAAATACTTCTGGTTTTTTGGTTTTCAACTTTGTTTAATTCTTACAGGGATGCCCGGCTTTCCACTTTCCCCATAAATTATTATTATTATTTGTTATATATAAGCATATTTATAAACATGAATGAAGGTACCAGTTGACAAACAAATAAATTAGTAAAGACAGTGAAAGTTTCATTCATTAAGTTTCATATAGATCAAATGTGAAACTCAGCTGACTCACTCAGTGGAACATGCACTCGCCTGCAGCTGGGAAACAATTTTTATTTTTATCCTTACCCCGTCAGCTGTTCTCTATAAATAGAATGGACCACAATTCATTTAATCGCCCGGGACATTATGACCGCAGAACCAGAAAATAAGCCAGAACGTGCTTTTATCTTACCTAAGGATGACTGCCGAATCAAAACAGGAAAACTGAATTCAAGTGTCCACTTTAACTCCTTCACAGTCGGGCGTGGTGATTGATCAATCAACAGCGAACCAGTGATATTGGATCAACACTCACAAAATCACGGAAGAGCAATATTTCTCAACTTAAAAGGGTTCTTTCACTGATTTCTTTTCACCTTTGAGCTGTTGAATGATTGTGATTTGAAATGCAACCCTATTGCCGTTTTTATCAAACATATTCGAAAAACAAATTTAACATTTCCAGGAGCCCATGACTTAATAAGTTCCCGGCATTTCTTAACTATCACTGAAGGCGAAGTGAAAGTATTAAGAAACGACTATCACGTAGCACATGGTTTGAAGCGGTAAAAGTGATATCAAGTGGGCAGTTTTGATCCTATGAAACTTGGGTGGCATGCTGTCTCCGTTAATTCTCGTCGAACTTTACCAAAATAGTATTACGATTTCCGAAATCACTGAGCACTGAATACGTATCGAGAAGGAAACACTCTCTCGCACAACAGAGCGGAAAATTCAAATTACTAGTCTTGTGTGGTTTCTATTTTAGGAAAGTCTCTGTCAATGTGTTCTTAAGCTTTATTCAAAAGCACAGTGCAAAATCACTTAGTTGTAGTAGCTTGATCATGAAGGTAAAAATTTCAATTTTTCCAGGTGTTTTCCATGAAAACGTAAATATAATAAAGTTACTCCTCTCACAATTGAACAAGGGTATTCGGAATTGTCTTACTAAAACTCTCTTGGCGCTATAGAACACTTATCGATCATGAGCAGCTTTGCTAATCATATTTATTGCACGTTATCAGCATGAGGTATATATCACTGACAAGAATTATGCATCTTTTATGTCTTTACGGTCAGGTGTAAGACGCTGTTAAAGGTGGCAGGTTGAGGAAGGAGGTGCATGGAGATTCTCTTTTTCGCTTAGAGGGCTTGTCCAGTCGGTGAGAATACGTAATCCGGTGGGGGATAGTCATCATCAGGAAAGCCCATTTTTTCTACCTTGGCTAAGGAGTCCTTCACTTATCATCGGTAATCGCTTAGAGTAGACAGGATCCTTAAGTAATAAAACATGTGCGTTTTTGTTTGATGTGCACAACTGGTTAAAGGCTTTGTGGAAGATTGCTTAAATCTTCCCTAAAACTGTTTCTGTACCCCGAGCCAGCCATAATACTCGCCGATGTCCTGGTTGGGCCAACAGAGATTTGTAACAAAAGGAATGAATTCGTGGCATTAATGAGAAATTAGTTCACAAGAAATTTCATTTCTCGCCGTCTCGAGGTTATCAAACGTTAAGCTTTCAAAGCACTCAGCATGAACTTACATTCTCTATATTATATAACTCCCTGTCTCGTCCCAATCTTTTTCTGTTGTGTAGCCTTTGTCAAGAATCAAGTGAGAAACGTGACTACTTGCATGCTACAAAGCGATCAAAATCTGACCTTGACTGGGTGGACCTACAACAATTAAGTATGGACTAATTTGATCTCAAATATTCCAATTTATGAGGTCTTATTCGACTCCTGCAGGAAATTGAAACAATTACAGAGACAGATTAAGCATTAGTTGTGTAAATTTTTTCTTGGAAACATTCCATTGCGGTGAACTTTTGGAGCCGATATCTGCAGGAAAGTGTTCCATAATAACTTATGGCAATACAGTTGTATTATAGTACTTCTTTTCTTTGAAAAAAATAATTGATCATAAGGGTGATATAGCAATGCCAAAGTCGTGATCTGTCGGCTTTCGCCATGCATGACAAACGTGCTAAGCCTGCGGTTTGCAATACTTCTTAGGGAAAGATATGATAGAACAGCTCGTCTTTCATGCCAGACAACATTAGACCTTATTCAGGGTAAACTCTGTGGCGCTTTATGGCGTGCCTTAATCCTAACACATGATCGAACTGTTATAGGCTACCGTCATGGTTCTGCATACTAATTAAATAGTTTTAAAAAAGATTTTAATTGCTCATTTGGTAAATATAGGTCAGGTCTTGTGTTTGTTTTCTGGGTTGTGGTTAGCACATGTTTGGCATGAGATTCTTTGCTTGTATTTGGCCTTGATTTGCGGACGGTCAAATCATTACCACAATCTTCTGTGGACCGAAACACTGAAATATAGCCGTCGAAGGCAAACTGGGCGATTAGGCCCAAGGTTCCTGTTGCAGTGTCTCTGAGAAGCTTAGGCTTAAGACACGCTATTGATCGAACGAAGCTGCAAGACATGATATGGTCACGGTTTGATAGATCCAATTGTTCAGAGAAGTTACTAGACAAATATTTACTTTGCTTGTGTTTATCTCGTTTTTTCTTGAAGGGAAATTATACTCAGGTGGAAAGGTACTGATCAACGACAATGAGGACATTTCTCGTTAAAAATTGCACGGTATCACTGGGTGATAACCATGAGACCAATGTCGATTCTAACCTGCTCTACAAAAATCAGCTTATTTTACCTAGCTGCACATGTCGATGAGGTCGTCTAAATCCCAAAGAAAACCATCATAGCAGCCTAAGTTTATCATCAGTGTTATCGCCCATCGGTCGGGTCCTTTTGAGGTTACATTTACTGAAAGGAGACCACAAATTTTGTTGGCCTTTGCCTTGATCTCCATCACGGACGTGGTGAATTAGGGTGAATTAGCTTTGCGTCTGACTAGCAACACTCTTCTTCAAACTGATATCATTTAAAGAGTGAGCTTCTTAGAGCATTGTATTTTCACAAACTGATTAATTGGGCGAGGGTAAAGGGTAAAGAGGGCAAAAATTAGTCACTGATAAAGAAAAAAAACATTGCTGATAGTTTGAACGAACATATCTGATAAGAATTTTGACCATACCAGACCTCGATTGTTTTCAAGTTCAATTGGCTTCAACACACATCAGGAGTCTTCAGACGATCGGTGGAAAAGAAACTTCTTGTAGCATTTTCTATTATACCATAGTTAAGGATCAGGTTTCCCTGTTGAATCTAGGTTAGAAGGAAGAATGATGGCGGGCAAGCTGTATCCTTTAGGACTACTGAGTTCATATAGAGTAGCCGAGCTATGAGAAGACAATGAAAGCAGAAGTTTGATGAAAAAGCTTAAGTTTAATCAATATGTACATAGTTGTGTCTCAAGTTCGATCTAGTGGTTTCGTACATGCGCATGACTTATCTCTCTGGATAAGACAAGTGAAAACCTGTCGCAATGTACGATTCAATCTCAACTAAATATGCTCAAGCGAAATGGCGATTAGTGTATCAATATCGAATCAATAGATTATACAAATAATATGATTATTATGCGTTTTACATAAAAAATAGTGAAGTACGAATTACACTTATTTCTAATGACGATTTCAACCTATGAAGTCATCTCAAAGTGTATAACACAAGTTTATATAAGCCATAAAGATCTGTCGCGTTTAATAAACTCTGATGCTAATTAGCTTTTCCAGTGGTTGCATGTCCCTTTCTAGTTTTTATAAATTTTATGATTTTTGAATAATGTTGCTGAGATCAGTTAAATTGTAGTTCCTTCGATTATAGAGTTTATTTACATTCGCTCCTCGATACGCACGTAAAACTTGTCTGGCGTTAGGGTGAGAGCACAATTGCCCTCAAGATTAATGCCTTGACACTCTTCCGGCAAACCTTCCTGTGAAAATCGGAAGTGATGAATTAGCGTTGCAAGGAAAACAGGGATTGTTTTCGTGGCTAGAGGCTCACCAGGACATTTTCGACGACCAGCAGAGAATGGTAGGAAGCCTCCAAAGGACTTTGGATCGATCAGCTCTCCAGCACCGTTCAGGAAGCGCCATGGATTAAAAACATGCGGATCTTTCCAGATTTCTGAATTACGGTGCACGGACCACAAATTAACAAAGACCATCGTGTCTTTTGGGATGACGAAGTCGCGAAATTTCGTCTCTGTGGTCGTTGAACGGGGCACTGAAAGAGGAGCAAGGCATGTTATCCTCATAAGTTCGTAGATTGTAGCTTGGAGGAGGGGAAGTGAGGCCAAGTCTTCAAGAACAGGAAGGCGTTCTCTTCCAACCACTCGGTCTAGTTCGTCTTGGAGTCGGCGCTGGATGTCGGGATACTTGATCAGGTACGCTAGGGCCCAGTTAAGAGTTGTTGACGACGTGTCGAACCCGCCGCCGAAGAGATCTGCCATGCCCTGGACAATCTGCTCATCACTGAGTAGGGGAGCCATGTTAAGTGTGTTCTGACTACTCGAACTGTTCTCTTTGTCTTTCATTGTTTCTTTCTCGACCGTATCGATGAAACTGTCGGCGATGTTGCGAACGTGCCCATCGGTGTAGGTCTCTTTGTTCTTCATAAACATCTTACCAAGGAGATCCAAGGTTTCCGTCATTAAGGATACGAGATCGGAGAGTGCCTTGTTCGGGAAGTACTTCAAGAATGGAAAGAAATCAACGATGGCGCTGCCAGATATAGCTTTTCCGTAGCGGTCAGAGATGCTAAGTATTTTTCGAAGGGCTTCATTGTCGTATGAAAACTTAACTCCGAAGAGTGCATTAAGAATGATATTGCCTGTTGCGAACTTCAAAGCTATGAGGGCGTCAACGGGTTTATCTTTCTGTTGTTTAAGGAAGTAAATCAAGCGTTGACATTCCTGTAGCAGGTTTTCTTGTAAGTTTTCTGTATTCTTTGCAAAATTCTGGATCACAGAGACGCTGATCTTACGGGTTAGACGCCACTGTGGAGTATAATCACTCAGGGTGAGACTGGTGCCCTCACGATTGCCAAGTTTAAAAGTGTGGAGCTGTGGTCTCCCAGCAAAGGCTGTGGAATGCTTTACAAGGGCCTCTTGAATTGTATCGAGTCCATTTAGCACCACCACCAGGCGATTCCCAAGCATCAGACTGAACACGTCCCCGTATTGCTGCGCCATCTTGGTGAACTCAATATGGGGATTTTTTCCCAAACGGAAACAAGCACCTATTGTAACATTCGGAAAAAGTTAACAATTTATTAAAAGAGCAGACTTTAAAATCTGACTTTAAACTAGATTTACATTTTTGAACTCAAGTCATTTAGTTGTTATTACAGGCTTTCTGAGCTAAGTAAAATATAATTTTGTTATTTCGGTGGACATTTTGATGAAGATTAACAGCCGTATCTATGAAATAAACCATCTTGTCGATAACCCAATCCTAAGTCGAAAACTATTCCAAAAGAGTTCGTTATGCATTCTTCTAGGTCTGACCAAAAATGTCATCACAAACAATGCATTAAAACTGGGTCAAAAGAAAGAAAACTTTTAATAGGGAATACAATTTTTTGAAATCTTAGAAACGTCAGGTCTGCTTCTGAGAAGTTACATCTTTGTTGAACCAAGCTAAACTAACATAACATATCTTCGATCAACATTTTGCTGTTTGATGGTGGTTAAACAGGTTAAACTGTCACTAATATCATGTGGAGTGGTAAAATCCAAGTGTTGATCAGTCTTAAGAGATTTTTTTCAAGTTATTTTATGAGAATTACGTCTCTAGAATACTTTCAAAATAATTTTATTCAGTTCCATCGTAGACTGAGGAGCTGCATGTCAATATTTGAAAAGTAACTATGACCTAACTTCGTTGCATCAACTTACAAGGGCAGATATAAGAAAGGAACTGAAATGACCGTGAAAGCTTCATTAGGGTAGTTGGACTTCGAGACCTTTAATCTACCGATTATCTTTTGGTCTTTGTATCCTAGTTTACTCATTTGTAAAGACAAATCAACGTAATATTACTAAGCCATATCAATAATCTCTAGGCTTTAGTCATGAAACACTCCTGTCAACCATTGTTTAAAATACTGCCTTTGAAAAGATAAAAGTTCGAGCACGTCTCAGCCGCTTACGTATGAATACGGAATGACTCATCTGTCTACCCTTATTGACACTAAGTGACGGGATGAATGTCTTACGGAAACGTTTCAAAGGAGCTGACTCAGACGTAGGCTAATAGCACGATACATTCTCTCAGTAATGAGGCTATGCATAAGGAATAGTGGAAATAGTGTGCTGTAATTTTCTTTTGAAAACAGGCGAGATTTTCAAATAATAGGTACTGCTCATTTAGAGAATAGCTCACGTCCGCATTTGTTCTCTGGGTTGTGCCTAGCACGTGGCCTGGATGATGTTTGCCCGTGTTACAGTGACGGCAAAATCTCCATCGACCGAAAATCTCGCTTTGGTTAACTGAATTTTTTTGTTGTTTTCCAAGTTGAATCACGCCTTAACCGGATAATTTAGTGTCAAAATGTTTTTTTTTTTATAAGAATGAATGGCGTTAACGTAATTTGTTCCAAGTACTAAACAGTGGCTTTTGCCTTTGCTAATCCCAGGGTGTGCTTCAGTGTCAAAGTCCAAATTTGTTTACACAGAGCCACAGAAAGATCAGACAATGTAAAAATTCTCTGGTTGCTAAAAAACGCTTTTAAAATTGGTTTTTCTACTTGAAGTTGATGATTTTCGAAAGGCTCAATGACAGCCACAAGTTCTTTTTCTTTTCCTTCATCTGTTACGCCAATAAGCTCTATTGCAATACCCTTTACTTTCTTGAGTTCGCGAATAAGCAAACTATATTTCGATAGACCAAATTGAAAGAACTTTTAATGGCCCGACATTTTCCGCAAAGGGCGTTATCATGAGTATTTTTACCAAAGTGACTTTATTTCAAATCAGGTTTTAATTGTTTGGTTTTGTTCGCAAAGGTTTCTGTAGATTAGTGAACAAAGATTTAGTTGACCGGAGAAGTATACGGTCTTCTGTGCTAGCCTGAGTCGCGTTGGAATCTTCGGGCGTAATTTGTGCTTTTATTTGAAAAAAAAACACTTAAAATAAACAAAGTTCCGTCACTATCGGCCACGAACACGCAATATTCACGATGTTCGGACGCTCTTGTCATGCAAGGGGCACTCTCTGTAATTACCTATTCATTAATGCAGTTTCTTGGTTGACTCTTAGAACAAAGAGTCTTTCTCACGGAGAAATAGTTATTGCTCCTTCGCAGCAAAGAAAATGTAACTCCGAAGAATTTCCATTCTTTGCATTTCTTTTATTGTCCGCAGTCACCAAAATCTGATTTGTTGAATAAAGGCGATTTCATAGAAAGTCTTAGCTACATAGTCTTATTAAACAGAAGAAAGTGCTCACGCAGTAGCGTACTGTACCGGTACTGAGAGGCAAAGAAAGAGGCGTTACATAACTCCTGAAGATCTTGCAAAGAGTTAAATCGACAAACTTGCATAATTATTTTTGAAGATAAACACGTGCAGGCTCTCTTAAAAGTTAACCTTAGTTACTGAAAATTTTACTTTATTTGACTTCCGACGTCAAAACAATTTGGCAGCTGTTAAAAACGAGTGTCAAGGCAAGAGAGTCATAGTTTAGCGATAAAGATGAACAGTTAAAGAACCTAGCCAAATAAATTTTTTTGACTTAGGAATGTTAAACTCACCTATAACTGGCATGCCCCAAGGACCTGGGGGCAACTTGGAAAAAGAATTTTGCCATATTGCTTTTCCTGTCAGGAAAACGCAGACTACACAACATAAGAGCAAAATCTGCCCAGCTGAAAGGAAATCATCAAACGAAAAACTCATAGTGGTCTCGAGTTCTGCAAGAGCTGGTTTTCTCTTCTCCGCTCTGCGCACAGATGCGATCAAGGTTCAAATGGTCTTGAGAGGGAAAGAATGATGTATAAATATGCGAACAAATTGTTTACACCCCATTGAACCTTATCTATTTATCGGCGATCATCACGCCATTCTAGTCGTGTTAATTAAGACAATAATTCATTAGTCGCGTTTTGATCGAGTGCTCTCAGTGTTTCAGAGAATGTTTTAATATGTTCACGTGGCTGCTGTGTTGTTTAAATCGTACAGAAAACTCTCTTCCCAGCAAAATTTTCCTGTGTATCTCTGATGCAGCAACTTAAGATGACGTTAATTGAATTTAACTTAGCGAAAAAGGTGTTAATCGGATCGTTAACTTGCGTGTAGTATTCGGAACGGTTAGCTCCAGAAAGCTCATTATGCTACTCCAAAATTGGAAGGTGACCTTTTGACAAAGAGTCATTGTTGACCTTCAGTTCTTTATTTAACGAAAATCTATTTCCGTATATCACTTTCCACAATAGATGCTATTTTTTCCTCGATCTTGCTGGGAAAATTGATCGTTGCCCCAGGGTGATTGTGTGGTGCACCGAAGTAAGCTTTCAGAATTACGTTGATGGGGTACCGATTTTGACTAGTTAAACTTTTTTGTCCCAAGAACATTTGTATTGAGCACAATGAGATTATTAATGGTTGCATTGTAATGTTGGTTGGATTGAAATGATTGGTCGAGGCATTGTTTAGTAAAGCAAATATAAGCCTGGCGGTGAAAGGTTACTTTTAGTAAAGCTACCGGCACGCTTTAGCCATGTGATTAGCCACGGCTGCATCTGATAAGCGGGATATATCTGGGAGTATTGCGAGATAACCTCGCCATTTTCTTGTGCAATATTTACAATTTGGCAACGATGCCAAGTGCAGTGTCAAGTTTTGGCTTGACAGCCAGCCACAAATGTTTACGCTTCGGAAAAATTGTTTTCATAGGATCCTAGAAACAGCAGTTGATAAATCTTATCTGCTCGTAAGTCTCGCATCTCTGCAGGAGCGATGTTTTCTCAACAAAGCGAGCTTGTTCGAAAGCTCGCGACCGATGATTTGAACTTGGTTATTTCCAAAATGGCTTCGTATCTGTCTAATCGGAAAGACTATTTATTGCTTAAATTATCCGAACAATAAATCACCGCATCTAATAATTTTATGCAATCAAGGATGGAAAAACCAGTGTTGTCGGCGATATTATTGATTATTTTGATCCAGAAGCGTCAGACTTCCGCTCGCGTGCAGCTTGTTCGAACCTTGCCACACACACTGGTCTCAATTGTTTTGCACTCAGAACTCTCTGAAGATAAAACGTCGAGACTGAATTAAAAGATTATATCTAAGTAGTGTCAGTAGAGTTATCGAGTTAAGTCTGTTGATTCAGAGAGCTGCCAGAAGGCCTCTTAAAAGCCCACGCATGATAATTTGTATTTGGTATTTTGCAGTTAAGCCCATAAAATCCAACATCGTACATTCCACACGTCCTGATATGACTTCCTGCAAAGATATGTGCAATTTCAAGTTTATTTACATGCATACAGTGGAACAGTTCCTTGAATTGTTTCAATAGGTCTTTGTTATGCGCTTTATTGCAATTTTATTCAGTATTTGGGTGAATTTAAAGATAACAGAAATCGTCTGTGCTCTTTGCATAGCAAGTTCTGAGAAATTTGCCTTCTGGGAACGAAAGCACCTTCGACAAATTCCTAAAGATCCCAAAAACGTGCACAACTCCGATGAAAACTACTAAATCACAATTATTAGGATCTCTTTGGTACCGTGTTCTTTCAAACTCACGGCGCTCTTTCACGGGTATATGTACGATTAAGTTACCAGGTTCATGACCTCAAAAGTGCTCTGAAGTTCTCTTACCCACGAAGTCGTCATTGTCTCATGGAAGATCGTCGTCGCGCACAATCAGTAACCATGCAGCGTGCACAATTAACTAACACTGAGACGCGAGTGTGCCCCCGCACTAGAATTCGTTCCGGCAATCTAACGTCAGATCAAACATTTTCTAGTAATTCACAAAACGCTTAGAGCGCTTTGATTAGTCGTTAAAGATTGTTTAGAAAAGAAAAAAGAAAATTCTTGTAGCAGGAACTAAGCAAGTCTAAATCCCCTTTTGCGGATACGATATTCGTGCGATATTTTTGCCGGAGCATGTAGATACGCCTCAGACTTTTTATTAGACTGACATCTCCACAATCCACACAGATAAATATCGACTGAAAAAGATGAGAATGCAAAGAACCCCTCGAAGTTGTTTGATAAAATATTAAACTTATACTCCCTTTCGTTTACGTGTGTGATGGTGAAAACATTTTTCCTTTCGCGAAACACTTAATTAACTTTCCCACTCATTTTTTTAATTCCTTCATGTTTCCGGCAGCAGCCAACTTTCTTGCTAGAATTAATTTTCCCAACCCTCACATGGTAGTTTATGTTGCTATGTCTGGGGTTGACCTTATTTGTGAGCCAAATTCTGCACAAGTCTAAACATTACGCAAATGGCATTTTAGAATTCTGATAGCTCTGAGTTTTACTTAAAAAAAAAACCTACCCTTATCCTTTGAGGGAAATACTCTTTAATGCCAACACTAAAGAGTGAAAAAAATAAAGCCAGGATCCTTGCAAGTGAGCTACAATTTGAGCAATTTCAGGAAAGAAGCCTGAAAAAATTCGGGCTTCGACAGGATTCGAACCCAGGCCTCCCAGATACTAGTTGGGAGGTATTATTAAGCCACACGTTGAGAGTATGGCAAATGTTTATCGAGAAGACAGATACCTAATATTTTGGCGATTCTAAGACTACATTTTACGTCAAGTGGCCAATTCTGCCAAAATGCTGCCGAACCATTTTTGTGGGTGATATGTAACGCGACTCTCCTCTGTGAGTAGTCATATTTTTTCTTTGTTTTGAGGGAGACCCATCAACATCCCTTAGTTCAAGTCTTGGCCTAAGCTTTGTAACACTAGAGAGTGGATTATCATTCGCTGAACGGAGATCTCGATTTATGATGTTCACATGATAAATCATTAGCGGTAATTACGTTTCGAAATCATCAACGACCCCACCTTCTACGTCGACCGGGGTGAAAACTTTCGGGAGTTGACTATGGCATTCTTCGTGACTAACCAAATAAATTCTGCCCAATCAGAGACGCGTTTTTTTCCTCCACTTTTTTCCCATGACACTTGAGCTGACAGCTATTTCAGGAACAACCTGCAAGCGAAATTCGCAGCGTGACGCAAGCCGACAGAGACCTTATCCAGAAATAGATTACTCCCACAGCAGGAGTCACATGTGTTCTATAAAATTCCGAAAACATAACGTTCATAAGATTACCAGCGTGAAAAGTAAATAGAAAAAAGTAATTATAACTCTATTAAGATTTCAAGCTGCTGTAAAGCGAATGAAGGGGAAGTGGCTAGAACGATCGTCGTCGGTATGATACTTTTCAAAGAAGTTCTCAGGGAACCTATTGAAAAAGTTTCTCAGCTTTGTTTAGTGGCGCTTAGGCCATTGAGTAAAATTTGGAGTAAACGTTTTGGATGAAGTGAACTTGATTTACTTCCATAGAGTAGGCGTACCAATTAAGATATATGGCATTTAAGGTAACTCTGGTTTAAGGGTTGCAATAAAATTGAGTATTAAGAGAACCGAATACAGTACGTGACTTGCTTGGTTTGATTTTCTCTGTCACGTTGGACCACAATGGGCGAGGCGAAACTTCGATGTCAAGGTGAGATGTCGGCACATGCATTGATTACAAAAAAAACGCTTGCTACCATTGCATAACAACCCATATCTCGGTTCATTGCGTTAAGGTTGGTGTACTGGGCCAGCTTGGGTCACGAGACTGGATTTGCCTATAATATATCAATCTAAGCGGTGCACTTTTTTCCTCATAAAATACCTAATTCATCTTTTCACCCGTCTTTTAATTCCTCTATATTTTTGGCAGTAGCCAGCTTACTTGTTAGAATTAATTTCCAAACCGATCTTTCACGATTTCTAACGTCACAGCGCAATTTTTTGTTGTCTTTATCTGAGCTTAATTGGCTTTATTTGTAAGCCAACTTCTCCCTAGCTCTGCACACCTCTTAACGTTACGAAAATTTAATTAATATAATTTCAGTTGTTCTAGTTTTAGTTGAGAAATCCTTCTCCTTAAGGGGAATGGTTCAGAATGCGTACACCATAGAGTATAAAAAAAAAAAGCCAGGAGCTTTTACCATTTTAGGCTCGGGAAGCATTTTCTTTCTACATTTAACTCCGGAATTCTTTTGATGGATGTTTAAGGCTGTTCAGTATTGAGCAGGATGAGGCTTAGTGTTAAGATATTCCCACTGTCTATTTCTTTCAGTGTTTCAACGTAAATCTCGATTACTGAGGACAAGCTTAAGTTCGAATGCATCTACTTCATCAGCACAAGGTGTGTTTCTGGAAGTTTGGAAAGCATGAAAGATGCTTAAAATCCTTAAAATTCTTTACAACAGTGTTTTCTAAAATTCTTTCTCTGGCCGGATTGCTGCCAATGAACGTAACTCGATACGTAGGAATCAGGACTAGCGTGGGATGTATCCATATACTTTTGTAATGGTAGTTGAAAGGGGCAATTTATCGGTGCTTTCTTGGCGTAAAAAAAAGTCATTGTTTTCCCTCAAACGAAATACTTTCTAATGCCACTAAAGGGCGACTCAAGATAGATCTTACAGTCAGTTTAGGTTAAAAATGCTGCTCGAAATCAGTTTTATAAGCTCATTGCAGATAAAACCCCATAATTAATATGTGTTGACTTCAATAATGCAATTTAATTTCCTTTTAACTTTTAAAATTTCTCTACCCCAAGCACGCCTACATCAGCATCACAATCACCATCTTTATGTTCAAGCAAGTCAACGGGTGTGCCCACATTAGTGAGTAGCAGCACATCCACCTCAACCTCAAAGAGCGTCAGGGCACTAATAACACGATTTACTCAAAATCTTCCAGTGCCAG